GTATATAAGTGCACCGGTGATGTGCAATGCCTGTGGAGGTCAGAATAGAGTGTCGGATTCCCCTGGAACTGGAGTTACAGACGGACGGTTGTTAGCTACCATGTGGATGCTGGAAATCAAACCCCAGAATCTCTACAAGAGCGGCCAGTGCCCTTAACCACTGAGCCATCTCTCCAGCCCTGCAATAAACATTTTTCTCTGTGTGTGTGTGTGTGTGTGTGTGTGTGTGTGTGTGCGCGCGCGCGCTCATGTGTGGGCATGTGGAAGCCAGAAGTCAACCGTGGGTGTTGTTCTTACTCAGTCCTTTAATTTTTGAGACAGAGCCTCTCACTGGGACCTGAGGCTCGCCAAGTAGACTAGACTGGCTAGTCATGAGCCCCAACTCCTGTCTCTACCACCCCAGTGCTGGGATCACAGGCATGCACCAGCATACCTGGCTATTTATGTAGGTGCTGAGGCTCAAACTCTGATCTTTTTTGCTTATAAGGTAAGCACTTTCCCAACTGTCATGATTCTGTTTGTGTTGACTTGTTTGGCTTAGAATTCCAGGTTATAGTTCATCGCTGCAGGGAAGTGCACATTAGTGCTCAGCCCCTTCCACACTCATACAGTCCAGGACCCCCTGCCTAGGGAATGGTGCCACCTACGGTAGGCTGAGTCTTCCCACATCAATTAATATAATCAAGACAACCTCCTGGATGTGCCGACAGGCCAACCTGATCTAGACAATCCCTCACTGAGACTTTCTTCCCAGGTGATTCTAGATTGTGTCAAGATGACAGTTAAAACCAATGTTCACATGGACTGAGCTATCTCCCCAGGCTCCCCAAAAGAACCTTCTGAATGGGCATCTCTTGTCATGTGTAAGTTAGCTGAGCACTGCCCCGGGTCCTCCACCCTCTTGCTGTCTCCTTGGGGAACAAGACGTGAATGAGTGTTGGTGAGCCTCTGCCCTCCACGCCACATACCACCAATGCCACCAGCCACAGGTACCACCCACCCCTCCTGTACTGCAACCTCTGCTTCATTACATGGCCTCCTCTGTGTCTCCTGTTCTTAAAAGGTGTTTGTGAGGACCGGGGAGATGGCGCAGTTGGTAAAATGTAAGACCTGAGTTCAGATCTCCAGAACCCATGCATAAAGTCCGGCTCAGTGGCACGTGCCTGTAATCTTAACAATGCAGAGGTGGGAGGCAGAGACAGGCAGATCTCTGGAGGCCTAGATGGGAAAGTTCCAGGCCTATGAGAGACAATGCCTCAAACAAAAGGCAGAAGGCACCTAAGGACCAACGTCCGAGGTGGTTCTCTGACCTCCACCCTCAACTCCACATGCACCCACAGCTACATGAACACATGTTGCACAGCGCTTAAAAAAAGACACTCATCATCTGAGTGACTCAGGATGGTGTCATCTTGACCCTCTTAATTTAATCACATCTGCAAAGCCCTTTTTGCCAAATGGAGCCACATTCTCCAGTTCAGGGTTGAGTTGTGCCCATGTCCTTTTGGAGGTCACATTAAACCCAGGAAGGACAGACAGGGATGGCAGAGATATGGGTCAAAACTGTGATTCTTCTGGAAGATGCTGCAACTCACAGAAGCAGAGAGTGAGATGGGCTGGAGTGTGTGAGAGACGGACAGCCGTCAATGATGAAGTTTCAGTTATGTGAACAAATATGCCCCGGAGGCCTGCTATGCAACACTGTGTGCTAAGAGGCACGATCTCTGGCCTGTGAGATGGATCCGTGGGCAAAAGCACTTGTCTTGTAACCTAACAGCCTGAGTTCGATCCCCCAGAACCCATGGTGGACAGTAGGCTCCCGCAATTGTCCTCTGACCACCACTCATATGCTGTGGCATCTGTTCATGCCACATGGGCGGCTAACAACCATCTATAACTTCAGTTCCAGGGAATCCAATGCCTTCTTCTGATCTCTGCAGGCACTGCAAGACAAGGGTGCACTTACACACATGCAGGCAGTACACTCACACACATAAAATAAAAATAAATTAATAAATTTTTAAAAAAGAGTGAGCCGCTGGATGCCCTGCCCAGATGGGTGCCCGAGGTCGGGAGACTCACTGTGCCGCCTTGTTGAACACTTCCAGCTGTCTTTTGGAAGCAAAGGGTTTCTCTGCCATTGGTTCCCTGTGAACCCCACCCCGATCTCAGCTTCCTCACCTGCAAAGTAACGGACACACCCCTTGGGGCTTCTGCTTGGTGTTGAGCCCAGACTCCCACCAAGCTCTGTCTCCTCCTTTCTTCCTTCTGGATTTTCTTCATCTTCCCACATTTCTTTCTGGTACTTTCCCCACACTGAGGCAACGGAGACAACTCAGGTGGAAAGTACCTATTATGCACGCTTGAGGACTTGAGTTTGGGTCCCCAGGATCCCTACAGAAGCCAGCTGTGGTGGAGCATATCTATAACCCTAGCACTGGGGTGGGTGAGGGGTGACAGAGATCAACCAGGTAGAGCCCCCTAGTCTGGTTCATCGGTGAACTCCGGGTTCATTGAGAGACTTTGTCTCAAAAAGTAAGGTGGAGGGGTTGGGGGGATAGAGCTGGTTGCTTTCACAGAGGAACAAGTTCAATTCTCAGCACTTATATCCGGTGGTTCCAACAGCCTGTAACTCCAGCTCCAGGGAATCTGATACTCTCTTCTGGTCTCTGTGGGTGCATGCGTGTGCGCGCGCACGTGCACACATACACACACACACACACACACACACACACACACACACCCACACCCACACCCACACCCACACACACCCCACATAAATCTTAAAAAAAAAAAAAAAAAGGTGGCCAGGCATGGTGGCTCATGCCTTTAATCCCAGTACTTGGGGCACTTGGGAGGCAGAAGCAGGCAGATCTCTGTGAGCTCAAGGTCAGCCTGATCTACATAGTGAGCTTCAGGCCAGCCAGGGCTACTCAGTAAGTCTCAAAAACCCTCTAAAATAATAAAATAATAACAATGAGAAGCATCAATACAGGAAGATGTCTGATGTCGACCCCTGGCCGCCACACATACATGCATACCCACATGCATTACCCCCACACACACACAACCTGTGTGGCCGACACTGGCCTGGATTCTTGACAGGAGCCTGAAGCCAGAACTGTTCCTGATAATCCTAAATGCTGCTGGCCCTCCCTCTACCCCAGCCACCACATCCCTTCATGAACTTGACCACTGTCAGATCTGTGTGGGCATGCCCATCACTCCTCTGGCCTAGGAAACCCCTGCACATCCAGCCCTCCCCCGGGTCTCTTCTCCAGGCGCCTCCCCCAAACCTACAGCTTCGCTTCACTGTCTGTCATCCCTGCACATACCCTGCCCTCCATTGAATGTAAGGCTGATGTTCTCCCACTGCTGAGTTATCAGTTCCAGCATGGCAGAACCCAGTCCCCTCTGTTTACTGCTGTGCCCCTGTCTCTGACCCAGAGCTATCTTTAACAGATATGAATAAGTGAATGAGGGAATGAATGAATGGATGTAAGTGGACAGCGAGCCCACGCTCTTCCTACCTTGAGGTCTTCCCAAGGAGTGATAAGTGAGTTAGTAGAGTCCAGGGACAGCAGAGATATCCCTGGAGAAAGGGACACTAACAGCCTTGCCTTTTTAAAAAGTTTTGCTCTTTTTTTCACCGGGCGTGGTGGCGCACGCCTTTAATCCCAGCACTTGGAAGGCAGAGGCAGGGGGAGATTTTTGAGGTTAAGGCCACCCCGGGCTACAAACATAGTCCCAAGAAGGACCGGGGGCCAAGGGGAAGACGTACCCAAAACACAAAAAAAAAAAAAAAAAAAAAAAAAAAGGTTTGCACTTTTGCAATGCTGGGGATGAACCCAGGGCCTTGCACAAGCCATCACTCTCCCCCTGACCTCACACCCCATGACATAAAACCATAAGTGCAGAGGCCACCACTTCTTGAATCTGTCTCCCTCTACATTTAATTATTTATTTATTTTAATTTTATTTTTATTTATTTATTGGTCTTTTTGAGACAGGATCTCCCTGTAGCCCCAGCTGGCCTGGAACTCACTATGGAGACCAGGCTGGCCTTGAACTCCCACAAATCCACCTGCCTCTGCCTCCCGAGTGCTAGAATTAAAGGAGTGCACTACCACGCCCAGCCACGTTTTGTTTTGAGACAGGGTCTCATGTAACCCAAGCTGCCTTTAAACTCATTCTGAAGCTGAGGATGACCTTGAACCCCTGATTCTTCTGCCTCCACCTCTCAGGAGCTGGGATTACAGGCCTGGTTGTATTTGGTGCCAGGACTGGAACTCAGGACTTCAGGCACGCTAGGCAGGCGCTCTACCAACATCCCCATCAACATTCCCAGCTCACCTTCTGCTTTGTTTTGTCTTTATTTTCCTGAAGGGCAAGGCAGCATATCCCTGAACTCTGGCTCTGGTACTCTGGCAGGTCCCATTGTCCCCATAGGCAAGGGAGGAACCAGACTTACTAGTCCTCTGGAGATGGAGTGTTCACAGTGCCAGGAGGAACCCTTGGGGAGAGCAGCTTTTGTGCAGGGGGAGGGTGTGCGCACAGTGTGTGCGGAGGTCAGAGGACAATTTGAGGGAGCTGATTCTTGTTTTCCATCAGGTAGGTCCCAAGGATGGAAATCAGGTTTGGTGGTAATCAGGTTTGGTGGTAAGCACCTTTATCGGCATCTCGCTGGCCCCCTGTTTGGGTTTTTAATGGGAGAAAATCCGCAAGTGAACGTTACTAGGTCCCAGTTACTGGTGATTCCGGTCACTGTTGGTTGACATTTGTCATGTATACATCTTCCCCAGCAGTGAGTGGAACAGAACTTCAAAACTACACCCTGGTGGCCTCTGCTCCTGCTGCCGTGGAGCTGGAACGGACCCCTGGCTCCTCTCTGCCTCTGCCCCTCACAGCTGCTTCCATTGTTACTCTGGGGCAGGAAAGGGGGAAAGGGGAGCTCAGGAATAAGTGAGCCTCAGTCACGTGTCCCTTCCCTCTGTCTGCAGGTGGGTCCCCATCTCGCTACATTCCCCACGGCGGCCGATCGCCAGAGAGCTCTCAAAGCCCACCGAGAAGAGCATGCCGTGCGCCAGGGCACGCTACGGATGGGCAACTACACCCACCCCTAGTGTCTGCCCCCGCTCCGGCCAGAAGGGTCTTCTTCACGCAGCAGAAATGCCCAAAGAACCTACCGTTCTTGTCCCAACTCCAGGAAGACAGTCCCTGTCTCGGTATGGCTCTGCTGCCACGGGGACCTCAGAGTCAGGTCTTAGATGAATTGGTTTTTATAAGAGCCCTGAACCCTTGGTTAGCTAACACTAGCCTCACCCGGCCTTCCCTCTCAGCCTCCGGTTCCTTCTCTCCCTCCCTCTCCCTCCTCCTCTTTCTTTCTCTCTTTTTCCACGAGACCCTGCCTCTTTGCAAGCCTCACTAGACAAGAGAAACTCAAATTACTAGGCAGTTAAAAAGAAATCCAGACTAAGGGTCAACGTCACAGCCCTGACCATCAGGTGTTGAGTATGACCTGTGTATACCCTGAAGAAAGTGTGACCATGGCAGGCTTTGAAAACCATCATTTCACATTCCAAACATATTTTAATTGCTCTTCTGAGGAAGTCTGGGGTCTCGACATGACAGGATTCTCTCTCTCTCTCTCTCTCTCTCTCTCTCTCTCTCTCTCTCTCCCCTGACAACAGAAAAAACCCATGGTTCATTACTTGGGGCAGCCCTGCCCTCAGTGCTGGGGCTCTGTCACTCAGGCATTCCAGCCTGGACCTCAGGACTAACCTAGGATGTTGCCCCTCCCAGAGAGAGCACCTTGTGTGTACCTCTGAGTCTCATCTTTCTCCAGTCTCTTTGGCTTTTCCCCACAAATTAACACTGATCTATTTTCAATATAAAAGATTATTCGTTCTCTTCTTCTTGTGTCTTTATTTGAAACCCAAAACTGGTGAGTGAATTGAACTGAGACTCTCCAGGTATTAACCCTGTGGAGCCTCTGCACTAACCTCCAGGGCCTCATAGAGCCTCTTTGCAGTTCTGGAGTTTCTAGGCTCCTCAGACACCAACCTTCAACCTAGACTTTTCCCTGGAACTTAGACTCACCTGTGCCCGGGCTGCCTCACATCTGCACTTGGGAGTCTGGAATTTATTCACCTCTAACTAACCGACCCACACAGATTTCTATTTCCCGCCAAACCTGTCTTCCCCATGTCATAAACACCGTCCCATTCACCCAACTGCTAAAGCCAAAACCTCCCTTCACTCTCTACCCTCCATCCCACATCCAACCCAACAGAAGCCTCTGGGGCTACAACTCAGTTGGTAGTGCTTGCCTAGCATTCATGAAGCCCGGAGTTCTGTCCCATGCCTGCAGAAACTGGACAGAGAGGCATACACCTGTGATCCCAGGACTGGGGAGGTAGAGGCATGAGGATCAGGAATTCAGGCCATCCTTGAATACATGAGGGGTTCAAGGCCAGCTATATGAGACCCTGTCTCAAAACAAAACCCAGGAATTCATCAGGATCCTGTCAATGTTGTCTGCAAAGCTGGAGCCTTGTGGCCAGGTCTCCACCTGAGCAGCATCCCTCATCCTGCCGGAGAAGGTTGGTTGACTCCCTGACCACCTCCCTGCTTCCCAGCTCCAGATCAACCCTTCTAAGTCCATGGCTTCTGAAGGAAAAGGAGTCCAGCAGGAGAGGTGCCAAAGCTGCCCACCTCCTCATCATCTTTTGTCCAGGCCTGTCCCAGTGGTCACCTCCTGCCCAGGCCCCTTCCCCCGGTACCTGCTCACTCCTGCCCAGGCTTGTACTTGTCCCTCTGCCTGTTGTCCTTGAACCCTCCACCATCACTGTCACTTGCCTGTCCCCTGCCATTTAGATCTTAGCTGAGCCCCTCCCCACACAGCCCCAGGTAAATTCATACCAGCCTGTTGTACTCTCTGCACATAGTGACCCCATTCCATGTTCTGTACCAGTGGATTGCAGGGCCTCCATTCCAAGGGACTCTCCCCCGCCACATCTGGGATCTAAGACCCCCCACCCCAGGGACAGACCCAATGGGTCATGAGTGGGTCAGCACCTGGTAAGTGTTCAGTACTGTCTGTGCAGTGGCCATTGGCTTGGCAGGGAGATGGCCCAGGCCTGGGCAGTTGCTGCATCACCAATTTAAGTGGGCTTCCACATTGGTACAAGCGTGCACATACATACATACACACAAAGCTTACATAGAGACATATAAATAAATATAAACACATAAAAACATCACATATACTCATGCATATATCTATAAACAACACATGCATGTCCATGTACATACCTGCCTACATACAACACACATGTGCTCACATACAACACACATGTGCTCACACACAACACACATGTGCTCTTATATACACCTATACCTACATAAAGCCCATATATATACACAGACATATGCCTATACATACATACACTCACACTTTTACAAAGCCAACACACATTCACAATCTATACACATACATACATGTACATTCAACCCGTATATAGAAATGTGTGCATACACATAGAAACATGCGCACACACATACATATACATGTGTACCTATATATACATATACACTTAAGCCCCAATAAAGGCTCTTTGCTGTTGCATACACTCTGGACTCCTTGGTGGTCATTAGGGGGGGGTCGTGAGATCTGGGCTTAACAACACACAACACATGTCCATATACACACAGCCATATACATGCGCACACAACACATATACACACACACAGCACACATATATGCATACACACCACACAAATCTGCACATACACACTACACATATATACTTTTTCATATATACACATACATGAAGCCCATATATACACATACACACAACACACATATACACATATACAGACACCTATAAATACATACATTCTTTTACAGACACAAAATATATACCTAACCTATATATATACACATGTACACACATACAACCTATACCTACAAATGTATACAAAACACACACATATACATGCACATATACACACATGCATATATAGTACATATACAGGCACACATATACTCTCACATAACACATACACAATACACATATGTGCATATACACACAGACATATGCACTTGTACATGCCTACATACCCACAGGTGCATCTATGATATTACCCAACATGTACATGAATGTGCCACACGGACCCCCTTGGGAACCTGGCTCAGTGGGGCTGTGACAGTCTCCAGTCACCTATGGGCCTGACCTTGACTCCCACTCCTCAAGGGAAACAAGCCTCCTCCGGGACATGTTGGCCACAGAGCCAAGCAGTGGCGGGCAAACCAGGCCTCCCAGGCTAAACGCATGCCGCCCGCACGATATGCAGGTGTCCTAACCTCTGTGCCTTGGGGTGAAGCAGGACCCCAATCCATCCAAGCATGCCTCCTCAGTCTGAATTAAACAGTGGAACCTTAAAGAATGTGTAAGACAGGCTCAGGGCCTGCACTTTACCGCAGGCTTTTATGTCCTTGCTCTAAAGCACAGCGGAGTGAACCCTGGAACTGAAGGAAGGAGCCTGCATAAGTGCCTGTGTGCACAAAGCAGTACTTGGGACGGAGCTACCTTTTTGACTGAGGAGAGGGGCCAAACTGTGCTCTGTGTCCCAAAGGGGGGGAGGGTGTCACCCACTTTGGCTCCCTGGTGCCAGCTTTTCCCAGATCTGGATGAGGCTCAGGACCATCTTATTCGTTTTTCTTTCTTGCCCTGTGTGCTGTGCCACTGTCAGGGACTGTGTCAAGTGCCTGGGTCCTCTCCCCCTGGGTCCTGCCCTGGTCCAGGACAGCCCACAGCAGAGGCCCTCAGCTTCTTGTCCTACAGCGCCACCCACTGGCAAGCCCGAGGCAGAGACAGTGGAGGTCCCTGGCCCTGAGGCTGGGCTCCCCTGGCTAGTTCTTCAGCCTCAATTATTTGAGTCCACACAAAGCCCTAAGTCTGATTCTGGTCCGATTCCACCTTCTTGGGTATCCTGTCACATTGGCCAAAGCCCTGTCCTCACTTGGGCCTGTCACGGTGGCTAAACCGTGGTACAACCGCCTGCCCTCTGTGATCTAGGGTAGAGTCCAAGAAAATCCAAGCCTGAGGGACTGGGAATTCATCTTGTTAACTTTATTACCCTCGGTCTACCACCATCCCCACCCCAGCTTCACAGATGGCAAAGAAATGTCAAAAGAGACCAGAACCCAGGACTGGGAAGGTAGCTTCGTCAGCAAAGTGCTTGCCTTGCAAGTATGAGGACCTGAGTTTGATCCCCAGAACCCACATTTGAAAAAAGCTGAGTGTGGTAATGCACTGGTAACTTTAGTGCTGAAGAGACGGAGGCAGGTGGATCCCTGGGGCTCGCTGGTCTACCAGGCAGCCTGGTCTACTTAGCTACTCACCAGGCCAGTGAGAGACACTACCTCAAAAAACAAGGTGGATGTCTTCTGAGGACCAACATCCAAGATTAACACACACCTGCACGGGTACACATAAGACCAGGACCCACTCAATAAGGAAGGTCAGCGTATGATCCCAGAGCCTGCCCCCACTGCTATGTGTTGAGGTTTTTTTGTTTGTTTGGTCTTTTTGAGACAGGGGTCACTCTGTAGCCCCCAGCTGGCCTGGAACTCTACGTAGACCAGACTGGCCTTGAACTCACAGAGATCTGCCTGCCTCTGGCTCCCGAGTGCTGGGATTAAAGGTGTGCGCCACCATGCCTCTACCTCCGAGTGCTGGAATTACAGGCATGTGCTACCACACTCAATTTTCTATGGTGCTGAGGATCAAACCTAAGGCTTCATGCATGCTAGGCAAGCACCCAACCATGTCCCCAGACCCCAGATAATTTTCTTATTCAGAAAAAAGGAAAGCTGTCTCCAAAGTGTAACTTCTGTAACAAAGCCTTCTCTGCAGGTGTGGTCAGCGGGCCTGTATGCCACCTGCCAGAGACACATCATAGTGCCAGGTCCAATTCCAGCTCCCAGGGAGGCCCTAGGTCCAGAGAAAGGTTTTATTTTCTTTTTCCCAGCTGGGGATGTAGCTCAGTAGTAAAGCACTTTCATGACACTCATGAGACCCTGGGTTCAATCCCAAGTGTACACATACAACACACACACACAACACACACACACACATACACACACACACACCAAAAAACTTTGGTATTTTTCCCGCAGACAAGGTCTCACTAAGTAGCCCAAGCTGCTGGCCTTGAATATACAGTCCTCTTCTCTCAAGCTCTGGAATGACAGGCACGTACTTCTGTAACCAGCCCTGTCTGCAGCTTTGATTTTCTCATCCCCAGACCCTGACTAGTACTGACTTAGAAGTTACAGACATAAGGGTGCAGAGACAGCACTCCCTGCAGCAGCGAACAGACCCCAGCTCAGGTGCTGAGGTAGACCTGCGCTGTGACCAGACTGCTGTGTCTCCAGCTCAGTGTCTCTCTCATGTATCCTGGTGGACAAAACATTCTAATTCATTTCCTTTCCCTGGAAACCCTTTGATGTTTGGACTCATCATTAAGAGGAAAGAAAACACACACACACACACACACACACACACACACACACACAAAAGATAACAACAAACTAA